CTTTACCTAGATCTGTAGTGTCCCTATTCCGAGTAGCAATCTCTCTCCCAAAGTTTCCCAATGCTAACTTGAATTTAATCAATTCCTTGCTCTAGATCTCATCTTAAATATCTTTGTCTGGGACCAATCTCTCAAATACATCTAAAAACCCACCATGTATTACACGGTCAAACACAATGGATGGGTGCTTGTAGTGAAGAGATGGATTTAAAAAGTAACCGGCTGAGTGGAGATGCCTATGAAGCTGGTTATCCCATCTCCTATCAATAATGCCAAGTATAGCCTTGCATTTATTTTCGTCATCTTTTTTTTTTTTAGAATGTTAACTTGTATTTATTTTCATCATCCTTTAAAGCCTTTTTTATCACTCCTCTTCACTTCACCATCAACCATTCGAAGCACTCTCACTAAAGGGCCAACCACCTCCAATGCATAATGTATTTTATTTCAAAATATGTATTGAGAATAAGTTGTTCAGATCTGTCATCCTGATGCTTTGACCACTTACTTTGATTCCATTGCTCTAAAGCAAACATGGTCCTCAAGGAATTTTTTTTGCTTGCATAGGCTTTAAAGAGTGAGAAATGATGTGGCAAATCTAGGACACCCAGTAACACTAATTCCCTTTTCTTTGTAAGACTCCTCATCGTGCTAAGGACTATGGTGTGATTATAAATAAATCCAACAACAAACATAGCTTTTGAAATCACCCCACTAAATATAGATGTTATACCCATTTCCTTAAGCATGATATTAACACAATGAGCTGTCACAAGGAGTCCACAATATATGCGTCCTCTTCAAAGCCAAGAATTGCCCAATTGCAGTGTAATTGGTACCATTGTCAATGACAATTTGTGCATGTTTCTCTCCAACAAACTCTACAATCTCATCCATCAAGCCACATAAGCATGTAGCATCATGTGACTTGTCTGATGCATCAACAAACTTAAAAAAAAAAAAGTACTTGTTGGACAGCTAATCAAAAATATTAATGAATGACTGCAACTTCCCATCGAACCACCCATCACACATAATAGTTGCCCCATACTTCTCCCACCCTTCTCTTTTAGAAATCAAAATTTTGTTAACATCGAATATAACATCCTTCAAGAAGGGCTCCCTAATCTCATGTAGTGTAGGAGGATTAAGTAGTGGGCCAAATTGCCCAATTGCCTAGACCATACATGCAAAAATATAAAGGATTTATAGTCTTCAAAAGAATGTCGTCCATGTAAAACCACTTAGCAAGGTACTTACATATATTCTTCCTCTCTTCTTTCTTGTATCCATTTTCAATTGTGGTTTGTTTTTTTTTTCCTCCGCTCCTAGACCACAATTTCAGGGTCAAGAGTGAAAAAACTGTCCATTACCCCTTAAAGAGGTGTTTTTTTCTCAACACTACCACCAATATTTATAACCCTCTCTCTTGACATTGGAGTGCCCCTTGCCTCGTTTCAACTTCTGACATATCCTCATCATCATCAAATAATTGTATTTCATCAATTACTTCTTTCTGTTTCATTTTTTTTCTTCTACTTTTTTTCACACGCTATCCATATATTCTTTAATTTCCTTTTTTATCTCTTCGGTAGCTTGCGGGCATGCTCTTACATTCCCCAGAAATACTGGCTAAGTATTCGTTTTGCCAAAAAAATACCCCCATATAAGTATCTCCACAAAGCATACAAATCACACAATTTCAATCTTTTGGATCGTTTTTAGTTTTGTATATTTCCATATCGGATCCCTACTACTAGAAGATTGGGAAGAAGACATTGCCCCAAAAAAAAAAGTATTATTGTAGTTGGAAAAAAAAGTAACTGATTACTTGAAGCAAATATCAATTTCTTCTCGGCCGTTGAAATTCTCGATTTGTTGTCAAAACTTCACCTAAACTTCCTCAAATCAACACCCAAAAGAAAAAAATCAACAACCAAATATCAACCAATACAAAAATCCAAGAACTTCACAAAAAAATTTCCAGCACTTTTTTTTTTGCTTGATTTGATCAAAAAAGCCATGCATGTGGTTATTTTTAGTTGTTTGGGGGGTTTAATAACCCCCCAAACCCTTTCCGCCTTTTTTGGGGCTCAAAATGTCAAAAATACCCCTGCTCGAGGGGTTTTCTTCACAAAATTGACTGGCTGCATATGTGGATTATGCGGCATGCAACCGCATATGCAGAAAGATGCGACGTATATGCGGGCACATCTCTCCAAAGCACATATGCGGCCTATTGCAATGCACTGCCCAGCGTATAACGCTTTATGCGGCCGCATTTTAAAACCATGGCAGAAAGTAAGACAAATTTACCAGTGTTCTGCTTTCACAAAGTTCATGAATTCAACCCTTTCTATTTGAGGGGCATGTTAGATTGTAAACGGTCCATTATTTGTACAATTTCATGAGTCGCATGAAAACAACAATCATATTTGTTTAGAGTCCTACGAGTATCTTTAGTAAACATTTCCTTACCTGATGTATTTAAAATGAGATTTTGATTCCATTATTACAATTCAAACTAGGATTTTGTCGGTGCCATATTATTGTTTGGGTTGTAGTCCTATTTGAACATAAAACTCTTTATCAATTATATTTTAAAAAAAGGCAGCCAATCCTAGCACTGTTAGAAACGTTATCTGAGCCTTTATCCCAAATTAAGCTAAATCTCTATAATTAGGTGCACATATGAACTATGGGAGACAATCGCCTCCAGTTCGATTTCCAAATAACTCAAATCGAAATCCACGAATATTTGAATCAATCCCTAAGTCGGGGATTTGTGCATCTAGAACATTAATCTTTGATTTTGGGGTATTACAATTCCAAAAAAATCGGATCGAGATTCTATGTGGGTGGAAGCACAATCTGATGTTTGATTTATTTGTGGTTTCTTCCATCCAAGAACTATGGCACTTGATGTTCAAGAATCTGGATTCGAGTAAAATTGAATTGAGTATCATTATATATAGAATCCAAATTCAACAAGTGTAGAATCGATATTCAACAATTGCGTAATCAAGAATTAATTAGAAATGACATTCTGACAGTGTTGGAGTATAGATTCCTAAAATAAAGTATCAAGATTTGTGACGTTACAAAACACAAATTCCGTGAAGAACCCTTATCGGAATCATGGAATCTGGATTTCGAATCATAATCATGATCTTGGGTGAGAGACTTCGGTAACTATGATTCCAACGGTCAAACCGATAGAAACCAACTGGTAGGACCAACCAAAACTAGTCAAACACTGGTTCTCACCGGTTTTTTTCCAAAGTAGCCAAGGCACCAACCTTCGCTTTGACCGGTCGGACTACCAGCCTAATTTGGGCATCAATGTTCCAAAGAAAGGCTAAGTCAAATGTATAGATTGGCATCCTTTTTGTTTGATTTCAAAATATTGTATACTAAATTGTTAAGAGATAGAAAATTATAAAAATAAAAAATAAAAGAAAAGGCACCACAACATGAATATAACCCAAAAGAACAAAAAAATTTTGTGCTCTTATTTCGGTATATCATATGAAAAAGCACTCTCCCATGAAAGGATAGCAATAACAACAGTGTAATTTACACCTCCCATGAGGAGATTTAAAAAATTTGTATGGTCAAGGTTCCACAAAAATGTATAAGTTTGGTATAAAAGTTGCATAATGGATAGTTCGATGGATCGAGAATAATAAAAAAGGAAAGGAAAAGAAGAAAAGAACCCCACAAGATGAAGATAAACCAAAAGAAAGAGAATAGTTTGTGCTCTTATGTTATATATCATATGAAAAGCCCCTCCCATGAAAGGATAGCATCAGAGACAATGTAACTTATCCCTCAAATGAGGAGAATTTAAAATTAATGTGTACGATCAAGATTCCAAAAAACTGCTTAAGACTACATGTATAGATTCATCCCCTTTTTGTTTGCTTCTAAATATCAACATACTGGATAGTTCAGGGGACCAAAAATCATAAAATCGAAAAAAGAAAAGAGAGATGTGATTGCTATAGACAAGAGTTTACAGTTCAGGATCCAAAGAATTTGGTGGATCAAAGAAAATAGATTGTGAAGACCATAAACTCGATCACTGCTCTGAAATCGAAGATTCTGAATCTTAAGATTCACAAAATGATATTCAAATTGGATCTTAGAGAAGGAACCAATCAACCAAATCGAATCAGTTTTCTTCTTAAATTTGAAGTTTTTGGCCCAGTTAACCTACTATCATATGGACAATCTAATCTAAACTCATATCTTGCTCAATCATTCAAGAACATTGATGAACTTCTTTATGAAGGTCAACCTGTAAATATGAATTTCAATGCGATTTCAAACAAAGAGAATGTCCATTCGTAATTGTGCCTGATTCAACAAGCACACTCAATAGCCATAGCATCCCATGATACATAATGGATTGTTTTTTCTCCATAGGCAATCTGTTTCTCAGAACCCTACTGAGAAATCAAGCATGTATATCGTGACATAACTATGCTAACCAAAGCCAACCAAAAGAATATAAACAAATATAAACCTGTATTTATCAGTTCTCAAAGCTACACAAATGAACCATAACTATGCTTACCAAAGCCAACCAAAAGAATATAAACAAATTAAACCTGTATTTATCAGTTCTCAAAGCTACACAATTGAACTATGAACAAGAAGCCAAGCTGGCTTCAATCCAAAATGCGAAAGAAAAGTTGGAAATGATTTTCAGTGCATATACTTGAAACTAATTCTCCAATTTAAATTTACAAAGGTTTTTATTTACAGATAGTAAAGAAATTATTTTAACCAATAGTGGCACAAGGATATATAATCCTTCAACATATGAATTTTCTTATTTTTCAATAGCAAGATTGAAAGAAAATAACCAATTCCATTATGTTTGCATATGAATAGAAGCCATAACAAGAAAATCATAAGTATCGTCAAAGAACCTGTTGGATATGCTATCTAAATGACAGATCAATAAGATATTAAAATAAGGAAACAATACTTACAGTAGGCAAGGAAGACGATGAATGCAGGACACTATTCTCAACTTCACCAGGTACATTTGTATCACTTAAGTTGATACTGTGGAGAGCCATGTGCATGCTGAGAGCAATGTAAGCCCGAACAGGGGAAGTATTCAGACATTTACTGTCAAGACACTGCTCAATAATCGTCTGACAGACAGACTTAAGAGCAGACAAAACTGATCCTAATATTGGAGAATCTAACAAAGCCCTCCTTGTGTTAACTGCTGTAAGCATGTCATTTACCTGCCATGCTGCCCCAGCAACAAGAAGATCATCCCCAACATTAGACTGGCCTGAATTGTGCAGTCTGTTTCCCTTGGTGTATTTTTGTTTGATCAAGTTTTTGATGGAGGACGAAAGCCTTGACTTTTTCTTTGATTTCTTCTTCAACTTTTGATGGCCACAATTGATGGGGATGCCAGATGACAGACGTTGGAGAAGGTTTGTCAATGTTTCTAACAATTCATCAAACAAATCAAAAGACAATAGCAATGTATGAGCAAACCTTACTGCTGCTTGCCTTTCTGTGTCCTCACACAAATTCCCACACTCGGTGACTAAATCAACACAAATTTCAAGAAGCTTAGATACATCTGTAGTAGAGAATGTGGAAGCAATTTCAAGGATAGATGCTTGAGCACAAACTCTAGTTCCTGAAGTGAGTAGTCTACGAAGAATTTTCCCTGAAAACAATTTCTGAAGAACTTCCTTACAGGATGCGTCACTAGATAGACTGCAACAGAGCTTGCCAAGAGCCATGAAAATTCCATCCCTATTAATAGGGTTCATATCATTAGCTGAGAGGACCAGACTGACAAAGACTTTGACGAGCTCCAAGAGGGACTCAGGTGAAGACCCTTCTGAAAGTGAATATTCGCAAAACCTTGCACCAGCTTGAGGAGATCTTTTTATGAGTGTGATACACCGACTACATGCCTCTTTAACAGGAAGATTTGAGGGAAAGTAAGATGGAATCAGTAGCCGGGTTACTCTCTTAGAAACTAGAGGGTGATCTTCTGCAAGAGAAGATACTAACGTGTCGATGCCCACCACCTGAAAGTTCATTCAATCAATCTAAGAAAAGAACCTAGACTGAGCTTTGTAATTAAGAAGAGAAACAACATGCATAGATTTAAGATGAAACAGGAGCCACATCTAGGCAAGAATTGCATTTCGAACTCGGGTTTTGATCAACCTGATACAAACCCCATATTAAAAAATATAAAGTACCTTAGTGTATTGAAAGGAGAGAACATCTTTCAATGCTAAAAGAAGATCTGCAACAGCCAGCCTTATAGAAAGAACAGGATCCTGGAACATCCGCCCTACCCTTGGAAGCAACACTTTAAGTACTTCATGAGTTTGTGGGTTATTGAGCAAATATATCAACCCATTCAAAACAGATAAACGCACCTCGCTACACGTATCACATGACATAGACTCAACTATTCTTGATAGCAACTTTGATGTGGTAGAAGAGGGAATGACTTCCCAAAATAAACAAAGAATGCGGCAGGTCCCTTCTACAGCAACAACCCTCACACCTGGGCAATCATCATTGAGCAGTTTCTCCAACAAGAAGAACTGTTTATCTAGTAGTGTATCTTGAACTTCTTTTGTAGCGCTTGGATCTTCAAGGGGGAAAAGATCAATAAGTAAAAGCAGTGCATTCTGACGGACATTGGAGTTTGCAACCTGCCAAAAGAAAGCAAAAGACGATAAGAAAAAAAAAATGTAATAGAGCTTTAACAGGTTGTAGGAAGACATGATTCTCAAGAAAATGATGATTATGAAAATAGAAGGCATATTGATTCATCTAAATTAGAGACAAAATCTACATTTAAGTACCAATCAAATTCATAAATAGAGTCGTTTGTACAATGAATATGTTAAGGTTGAGATCCCCAAATGTTAGGGATCTCAATCCGAATCCTTTTAGGCATCTCAATCCCAATGTTTTGGGAATCTTTGTCTCAACCTTAAAGAGTATATATGGTCCACGTGTCTATATACTCTTTAAAGCAGGGTTCTCTTTATGCATAGCTTGCAAGCAATACAGCTATATAAAAAGCATAGTTGCAAGCTAGCTATAAATAAAAAATTCATCACTTTGTCCGTCATCATGGTCTTTAAGGAGAAAATTGAGATCCTAAAAAGAGGGATTGAGATCCCAAAATTTAAAAGTCGAGATGCTTGGAAGATCCCTTTCCTGAAGTGCAAGAGAAAGACTCCACAACAGGATTGCCACCTAGGTTGGGAGACCCTTGCAACTATGGGGTTATACAACCATTGGCTGTCAAAAAGCAATATGATTTTCATGAAACGTGCACATCTTTTATCTATATTATAGCTTTTATGGAAAAAAATATTAGATCTTACTCATGGCAAAAAATCAATCAACCTAAGAACCACAATGAAAGCAACTACCATGTATCCAGGTTTAGTTATTCCAATTAAGCACCACAATCTTCTTTACTTGACAAAACAGGCAAATGCCTCTCTTTTGATCAAGAGAGCATCAATCACTATATACATTCTATTTTCAAGTTGGAAACTCAGTGAAAAGAGAAATCTTTCCTTCTCTTGGTGAGAAAAGAAATGGAGACTGCTTGAACTTGAGTAGGAAGTAGGAGCAACTAAAGAAGAATACTTTTTTGAACACCTATAGATTGTTGGTTGGACCATCAATTTTGTATATAGTGGTTCTACGCATCACAAGAAGTTGGGATCTAAGTTTTTTGCTGGTGAGGACATTTTTGGGATTCTTGAAATTTCTGTTTACATGATTTGTTTCAATTAGGTAACTTTCCTCGCCGTATTTTCCCTAATGTGAACGAAAAGATGTTATTCAACTGATATTATGAGCAATGTCACACTTATGTTATGGTGTTATGTAAAGTGTCGTGGGCAGGTTGATGTCTACGCTCTACAATTAAAGCTTGCAAAAACTTTTCACATGTGTGTGTGAAGAATCCCTCATGTTTATGACATAGGAGCCTAACTAGAAAGACTTACGGCATTCCAAAAAACTAGAACTCACATTTCAAAGAATTTGAGCTCTATAACACGAGAAACTAACTAGAAAGACTCAAGGATTCTAAGTTCTGAGCATTCTTCCTTGGAGTCCTAGAGCTTGGATTTGTAACTCCTTTCCAAAGAAGATTTCTACTGAAAATTCACAATTAAGGTGAGTAATGCCCCATTAATGACTATGGAAAACGAAGGAAAGGTACTGTTCTAGAACTTATGTTGCCAATAAGCTAAAGAGTTGGAAAATCCTTCAGTTGATTAGAAAGTGGCTGATCAAACAATTCTGTATTTCCCAATATTTTCATTCATAGATGTCCACTAACCTCTCTAGAATGAAGGCACTAGAGACTACAAGGATGTTCACGGTCCTTTTAGGCTTTGATAAAGGATAACAAGAGCTGCTTGGATTATGGAAATTCTAGAACAAAATTTCTTAGTTTTCGGCCATAATGTAAATGAGGAAGTATTCGTTTCAAGTTTTAGTTTGCCATATCTAGAAATGAGGTGGTTTTGGGGAAATGTCGAAAGAAGGCAACGCAATATTATAATTGTAGTTACCAGGATCTCTCACCCAAGATCGCAATTCCGAATAGGAATCCTAATTTCACAATTCCGACAAGGAATCTTCTCGGAATCCATTTCCATGAAGTCAAGAATCTCAATTCCTTATTTTAGAAATCTCAATTCCAACACTCTAGACTATCATTTCTGATATTTATTGATTCTCGATTCTGTAATTGTTGAATCTCGATTCTACATTTGTTGAATCTGGATTCCAAACATAATGATACACTCTATATCAAATTAGAAGCACAAACATGGGGTCATGAACTACAAAACAAACAATTCAGAACCTATAAGAAGCATCAAATCAAAAACTCGATCCCAAATATATAGAATCTCGATTCCAAATAGGTCAAAAACTCGATTCCAACGAGGGCTGAATCTCAATTCTATATATATAGGGATCTCATTTCCATTTCAGTCGAATCTCGATTCTTATAAAGTAGGAATCTCAATCCCCGCAATTCCCCATGACATCAATTCCAAAAACAAAAATCTTCTAGCTAGCAATGATTCGGCGATTCCAACTCCTAAAACAATCCAAAATCTTAACCTCTCAATTGTTTCAAACAATTATGATTATAATAGAGAGTGCTATAAGACCATTACGTCATTTTTTCAAGATCCATTTGAGGAAAAAAAAAACAATATCAATGTTATACTTTTATGACAGCCTTTGTTATTTGCATAAATGGTTGCAATAATGACCATTCTAAAAAACAATTGTGACGGGATCTTCCTTTCAGGGTTCTAAGGTGGCACATGAATTTTGAGAGAAATCTCTTTGTTCTTAAACTGGGGGTTTCACTTTTCAAAATAATGCTCAATTGGGCTTCGATCCCAAAAGTTGTATGCTACAAACCTAAAGGAGTGTCAGGCTATTCGCTAAGGATACAGAAGTAGATTTGAGGCCTTCTTGGTTTTCTGTGGGTGTCGTCATATATTTTTTATCTTGAGAAATAGTGGAAAATCTGATTATTTAGCCTCATGAATGAAACATCGTGGTGAACATAATTTGTGTACATTTTGAGCTCAAAACCCTCCACAATTATGCGAAGTTATAAAAGGATAGGATTGTTTCATATCTTGCATCAATGCTTTGACCTTTGAGGAAAATATACACTATGATTTTATCTGAATTTCAAATCAGCTATTGCCGATCTCCTTCTATAAATTGAATTGTCTTATCTTATTTTCACTACAATTTTTGCAACCATTTGAAGTAAATTAAATACATTTGTGTAACTTCATTGTTAGCTCCAATCAGTCCCACACGTTTCCTATAAAGGAATGTAGCCAAACTCAACAATGGTTGCACTCGCAACCCAATAGTTTTAGTGATTCCCAAATAATGCAAATGCTTCAAAAACTATAGCCTTAATATTTAAAATGTCAATCCATCCATCCAACTAAACAATAAGAATTTGCAGTCACCAAGAAAAATGACATGAACAGTAAGAACAAATTTGCATGGAAAGTGAAGAGGAGTGAGAAATCACCTGCAAGGATCGAAACAACACAGGCTCAGTAAGCCGAAAAAGAACACCTTCAACCCCTACTATTGTTCGCTGGTTCACAAATGCCCCCAAAACCCTCCTTGCAGAAGAAGCCAGCACTCTTGAACCAGCATGTATGGCACCCTCAATCAAACTCTGTAAAAATCCATTGTCGATTTCCTCACGTGTCAAACTCTCAGCAACCTTCCATGCCCTAAAAACAATCTCTCCATAACCTTCTAACATCGACTTCCTCCCAAAAGGGATTTGTGACCTAATCATGGCCAAAATCTCCTTCAAAAGCTGAATGTTGAGACCGAACAAAAAAGCTATGAATTTTCGTCCCTCTTCTGTCTTCAAATATAGTGGAGTGATAACACATCGAACCAGAAGGAGTTTCAAGTCCTCAATACTAGTGTCCATGAAATCAAAGAAAGTTAGAGTCTCTTTTAGAGCATAAACCCTACGAAGATCTGACTTTTTGCCCTGAGAAAGAGATCGAGACAGCAGATAGGGAACAGACTGAGAAATTAGGGTTTCTTTATCAGGAAGATTCTTCTTCCACCACTCTTCGCATAAGGAAGCAATGGATAACTGTAAATTCGGGTCAGGTTCATAGATGGATAGGCTATCATGGAGGGCTTGAACAGCTGGGAGTAAAACTGATGGTGGAAAAGCGCCATTGGGGTGAAAAGTGCAGAGATGAGCAATGCAAGTGTAGATATGGAGCTCATGGAGTAGGGCTTGCTCTCTTCTGATACTGGTATCAGGATTAGGGTTAGGTTTAGGGTTTCTGGTTGAGCGCCTTAGTTTCTTAGTGGGAGGAGGTGGTGGTGTTTCAACATCGCCAGAATTCTCTTTCTCATGGCCGGAATTTTCTTTCTCATGGCCAGAATTTTCAATTTCATGGTCAAGATTTTGGCTTTGAGGATCGGAATCTTCATTATGATGGCCGGAATTTTGGCTTTGATGTCGGAAATTTCCAGATCCCAATGACTTCTTGAATTCTTTGACGCATCTGGAGATGACGTCGGAGAGAGAAGAAGGAAGAGAAGGAGGAAAAGATGAGGAGGGTGTGGTCCATATTAGGGTTTTGAGGGACGATTTTTCCGGCCTGGATTGGATTTTCCCGGCGATTCTGAGAAATTTTTCCGGCGAGTCACGGAGAGAGGAAGCGAGGGAGGCCTCCATTTTTAGGTTTAAAGGTTTTTTTTAGCAGAGAGAAACCATTGACACAGCCTGTGTGCCGTTTGGGTGTTTCAAATTTTCGAAAATGGAAGAATCGGGCTCGTTTTCTTGAGGATAATGGTTTACGGTACCCTTGGCTTTGTACGAATTTACTGGGATGTCCCTTGGGAAACTCTCTCTCTCCCTCCCTCTAAACAAGCTGTTATTTTCATCCAAATTCTTATTCTTTCAAAACAATATTCAAGCAATTCTTATTCTTTAAATACTTAGACAGTAATTATACTTGCTTTCCTATAAATGAAAATATGAAACCATAGTTCCTTTTTCTCATATACTAGGTGTTGTTTGTATAGGGCAGAGGCTCTAAACCATCAAAGTAAAGCGCACCTTCAAATAGTATCGATAAATGTGATTTCAATATTGAAAATATTTGTAATAGCCTTAAAATATGTTTTCATCTCTCCTTATAAAATTAAAAGCCTCAAAAATAGTGTAGATTGGGCAGAAGATCTATGAAAACTTGAAAATCTTGAAACTTGACAGTCCAAAAATTTATTATAAGATGCACTGTTTTCAAAATTTGATATCCATTTTTTTCCCATGTTCATGTATTTTGAGGTCGAGATGATTAATTTGAGGATATTTGGGGCATCAAAACAACCTCTACTAATGAAATTTTTGAGGTGTGCCCAAAATTTGTGTATATGCCATATCTTTTTTCAATAGTTTAAACTTTAACGCTTCCACATAATTTTCTCAAGCAATAGAATAGTGATGGATAGTTTAAGTTTAAGCCATTTGTAATAACGTTGAGGCTCTAAACAATTAAAGTAAGGCACGACTTTAAATAGTGTCAAATGATGTTGTTTTAGTGTGGGAAATCTTTATTATAGCCTGAAAATTTATTTTTCTCTCTAATTATGAAATTTGAAGTTTAGAAAATAGTGTTACATCAAGCAAGTCTATGAACACTTGAAAATTTTGAAAAGTAAAGATCTAGAAAATGCATTACAAGATGTACTTCAAATTCATTTTTTCTCGTATCCATATATCTTGAGGTTGAGATAATCAATATGAAGACTTTTGGGCATCAAAATTGTAGGGCTTTTGTGGACATTAAAGGCCTTATGGGAGCATGTAATCAATATCTAATATAGTGGATCAAAGAACTCCAGTGGGAGTAATATCTAATATAGTGGATCAAAGAACTCCAGTGGGAGTATGGTCGTAAGGGACCAAGATATTATAGTCCTAACAGATCAAGAGATTGTGGTCCAGAGGGACCAAAAGATTATGGTTGAGAGAGACCGAGATAGGCAAATAATATTTTCTAATACTCTGACTAGGCTTTACAAGCTAGGCCAATCGAGTTGAAAAACCCATATTACCTGGGCTTGAAAATAAAAACTGATGAGGGTTTATAGGTTTTCCTTTGATGATGTCGGAGTTGCCCAGGAGAGTGAGCCAATGGACTATGTGACCTTTGTGTGTAATGGTTAGCCTCTAAAGACGATGGCCAGAACCTCATCACTGGACTATCACACTGCATGTGTGTATAATAGCCGTAGCAAGACATCATTGAGGGTGCAATGTATACATGTGTGAGAGATTATCCTTATGCACCATAGAGTTCTGGTAGCATCCGGTCTTTGTGACCAATGGGTTCGTCTCTAGGAAAGAACTTGTAATCCATAGATGCGGGTTATGTCGATGTGCTTATTGACTAATTTTGATAGCCCAATTATGAACCGCTACAGTGGTCTGTGGATCATGAGAATTGATAAGTCAGTATGAGAAAGCAATTGTGGATTATAGTACCTAGTAGAAGATGAAGTGTTTCAGAATAAATTAAATTCCTAGACCTAAGAGGATCTTATTTCTATCAAAATTATTGGTTATATTTATTTTGATGATAATTGATTTTTCGAATAATTATTTGAATTTTTAAATATCTCTGGTTATTTTATTTTTATAAAATAAATTTATAAAATTAAGAAATATTTAATTTTCAATATAAAATAAAAATCTCTTTCACATATTCTAAAAATACAAAATATATTTTAAAATTTAAATACGTGTGTGTGTGTGTGTGGTGGTGGTGGTGGTGGTGGTGGGAGGGGGGGCACATTGGAGCCTACCATTATATGGGTGGCACGCCCCACTTAAAGAGGGAGTCCTCTTTTGTTGGATTTGTTGTTTTAAGATATGTTTTAATATATTGAGATCTTGTTTTAACAGTTCAAATTAAAAATAAGATATGCCCAATAAGTCCTAAAAGATTGAGAACTCTAAAAAAAATATAAACAAGAAAAGAGTTTTTGACCAGATACATTGTATCTAGTATTTTATTTATCTACCATTTTGTTGGGATAAAGGTTCAAAAAACTAAAGAATAAAGTTCTGCATCATCTTTTAAATTATGATGGTTGATTTTAAAAATGAAAGGTTCAAATTTCTCACCTCACAAGACTCCTAATATCATCAAATTTGAAACCCTGCCCCTTGAAAAGTCTATAAAAGGGGGCCTTCTCATATCTCATTCTCTATGTATAATTTTTGTTTTCTCTGAGCTGTCTTGGGTGGCACGCCACCCTCAAGGATATTATCTCTCTCTTCAAGTTCTCATCTCTCTAAAGAGCCACCGTCAGGGATATTCACTTTCTCTCTCTTCAAGTTCTCATCTCTCTAAGGAGAGATAGGAGGTACGCCCCATAAAGAACATAAAGGTGGGTATGCCCCACCCACTCTATAAATCTAAGGCATTGATAACATTACTGCTCTCATACTTTATGAAAGGGTTTTAAGAAGTGTTTTCCCATATTTTGCTCTCATACTTTGTGGAAGGGTTTTAGCTAGTATTTTCCCATATTTAAAAGATTCGATAAAGTCCATTGATTCAATACCTAATTAGAGGAAAGATTCTCGATATAGGGTGTTCTAAGTCTAGTTGAGGTAATCTTTTAAAATCCTATTTTGTGGTTTGCAGTATTTTATTTCTTATGCTTTCTTATTTCCAAAAGTATTTTGTTGGTTTTAATCATGGAATAAAAAAAGATGTGATTAGTGACAGCAAGTGAAAATATTTTTATTTATTTATTTATTTATTATGAGTTATATTTGTTGTAATTGGGTCATTGTAAGTGTTATAATCGATGATAAGAATAAACATTTAAAACTGTATATATCGTGCTAGATCACATAGTTCAGCTTTCATTGGTATTAGAACCAGATCTATTTGCTACCATATTTATTTTATTTCACTATTTTTGGTGAGTTGGGAATCAGATATAAGAAAGACAACAACTTTTGTGGTCAAGTGATATACCTCCGAAAGAATTATTAGCACGTTCAAACTCCGAAAAGGCACTATGCAGAATGAGGTATTATGTGTTGTTTTAGAGTAATGATATGAAGAAGATAATGAGGAATTTATCTAGTGCATACTTCAGTGATATTTTTTTTTTTTACAGTAGGACCTTCCTGCAAAATTATTTGAGATCCTAGGGAATTGAGAGTTATAGGTTCATAATTGAATGGTATCAATTCTGACCCTACAAAATCCAAGAACTTTGTATTGAGTTTCGTGATTTTTTTTACCAATTAAATAATTTTTTTTTTGAGTAAAATTTGACTGTAGATCATCAAATTGAGTCTACTTTCAAAAAAAATAATTTCGTGGAGAAAACCCTTGTTGTTTGAAAGATATGGTCATTTCTTTGAAAGGTATGCAAGTGTTGTTTTTTACAATGAAAACTATTTTAGTGACACGAAAGTCATGATTTTATTTATATTCTTAACATATAGTTTTAAAGCCCACACTTGATTATAAACTACCATTTGGAGTCTAGCTTCTAATAAAAAATATTTGATAGAAAAGTATCCATAGGAAATAATGAATAAAAAAAATTTATTGGAGAGATGTCATATTGAATTTCTGCAGTTTGGTATATTTCTTTGAGATGTGAATATCTTTATTTTTTAATCATGCCTAGCAAAGTGATATAAGGCCTGTAGAAACATATGTATTATCATTTTGTATCTACTTTCAAACAAAATATAGGTTTTGATAGGAAAACTCTATGAAGGTGGAAAGGAAAGGCAATTTTGCTACATAATATTCATCTCGAAATTCTGCAGTATGATTTGTTTTGTGACATCAATGTCAGTTATTTATTTTCATAAAGAAAATTATTATTTGGGATTCACATCACGTTTTCAAGGTTTGGTTTTGAGTATAGTTTTCAACATAAAAGGTTTGAGGAAAAAATCTTTTGTGAATTGAGAGAAACAATTACTATATTGAGAGGTCCATAACCTAATTTTCTGCTATGAAAGTTGTATTGTGATGTGAATGTTACCTAATCGTAGACTCACTAAATAGTGTGATTTGAAAATGGCACTAAGCATTATTATGTATTTTTTAGTCTATTTCAATACTAAAAACTTTTCAAAGATAAAGCCTTTGTGAGTTAAGAGATATTATATTTTTATCATGGGATGCTTATATTCTATTCTGTAGTAAATTAAAAGATGTCACATGTTAAAGCACATCTTTGTACTTCTCATAATGGAAGCATTTTTAGGGCTTATTTAAAAGTTTTATAGTGTGATATAAGTGCGGTTTATAATAGTAAAACTTCGGAGAGACGTAATACAAAGTCGGGGAGATAAGACACTCTATGTGAATAGTGCTCAATCTAGGAATTGTGGGAAAAAAAAGAAACACAATACCTTAGAAAACATCATAGTTTCTATTTGTAATGAAGCGATGTGCAGAGAGCCTTAGTGACAGCATAAAAACCTTACGATCAGTTAAAAACAAAAAAAAAATCAAGATAGTGATTGATGGCATGAAAAAAAGTATTTCTTCATATAAGGGAGAATCTAAATGCGAAAGAAGTTGAGGTTTCATCGACATGTAAAAGATGATGACCAAGTGATTATATTGTGTAATCTTTTAAGATCACAAAAAGTTCGTCAACAAGCAAAAGTAAGGATCAAGTAAGCCCATGTACTAACTATATGGTTTTGAAGTATGAAACCTATCTCGCATTACATGATAAGGTCATATAAGGACAGATGATTCAATAACTTTATTATATCTTTTATACTTATTTGATTATATCTTAGTTGTTTTTTATTTGAATATAAATAAAGTGTATGGACATTAGTCGATAGGTGACAGCAAGTTTGAAAGAGCCAGTTTTGTTTTGATGACATGTATTTAAGGAGCTCATTGTGCTTGTGTGAACTACTTAAGGTAGTAATATACATGCAGATGTGATTTGATTAATGATTGTGGACCTAAGTATCAAATACGAGAAATGGACATGGTTCATTCAAATATGTAAACACGAATGGAGTGTTTCGATGGAACCCGGTCTTTGTAATTATCCTTTCAATAATGTCCAGGGATATGATGTACTGCATGTGATGATGATCTCATGATAAGGCCTCCATATTTGTCAAGAAGAAGTATTTGTCAGGTTTTGATAATCATTTTTAGTCATGCTTTATTTTTTATAAAATCATAAGATGAACTTTATGATTTATTTTTGTGGCTATAAATATGACTTGGTAAGTATTTTATAGTTAAGTATTTTATTTCGTATATTTTTTTATTCCCAAAAGCATTGTGTTGGATTTATTCATTGAATAAAAGAAAGTGTGATTAATGACAGCAAGCGAAAACACTTTTGATCATTTATTTATTTATTATGTTACATTTGTTGCAATTGGACCATTGTAAGTGTTTTAGTTAGTGGGAAGAAAAAAAATTAAAATATGTATATCTTGTGCTAGATCACATAGTCCAGCTTTCAGAAATAACATCTCCTAGTAGATTTTTTAGGTGCACCTTAATTTGATTGTTTAGAGCCACACCTTTACATAAGCTTCCTTCCTCTTAATATTCACTAGTGAAACTTTTCCATTCTATACATTTCATCTAAATCATAATAAATATGGGTAAGCCCATTTGAGTTTTCTAATATATTAGAGATATATTATATTAGAAACTTTCTATTGTTCTTGCAAAATCAAGCAAAAATCCATGTCATCGGAAAGGTATATCAGTAGTCACATCTAAATATATATGTAGATCCATGGTGATATTAGTACCTCGCTATTCTTTACCTATAATGATACAAGCAATTTATGTACATATATGGAAGCTAATTAACACAACCGAAACAACGCTAGGATTGTATACTATAAGACCATTTATCTTTATTACAAGGAGGTCATAACTACTGCTACTCCTAGCCATTAGATGTCAAATTGGATAGTTTGGGGTGTGTTACGAAGTTTAAGATTTTCTTTTCGAATATTAAGTCTAGTCAATAATAAATGGTCATACCCACCCGATTTGAAATCTGATGGATAATAGTGATTGTGATTTCTTTGTACTAAATGTAAATGGTCTTTTTGTATACTTTTCCGTAACACAATTCTAATATTGATATATACATATTGAAAGATTGTAGTGGTACAAGAGATAAAAAAATAAGATTATAGTGGTATGAGAGATAATAATGACCCTTGATAGAACGGAATTGAAGAATAAGATTCGTGTAATCGAAATAATAAAATAATCAATATTGACATATTGAACTATCTCACTATTTAAATGACATAATTCAAATATTCATATATAGATATATTAAAGTATCTTGTTATTCTTGCCTATTCTTTTTTTAAAAAATTCATTGTCGAAATAATCAATACTTCAACAAAGGAGAAGAATATAGAATACTAGCTTCATATAGATCCTTTTAGAAAAATTTGGGATAATTCAAACATGGTAGCATGTTTGGGGTTCTTTGGACATTTTTTTGTTAATTTGTTGTAGAGGTCAATGATCATTTCTCATCGGTGAATCATTGTCATTAGGGCACCTTTCATTTGTATATGGTTGTACATGGCACCAGCAAAACTTCCCAGAGAAGTAAAAAGTCCAAATTTTCTTCCAATATATTATTCTACCTTCTTTGTGTCTCTTAATGGTGATGTTTTTGCTTCGTTTCCTAAGCTTTAATTCTATGGCAAATTATTTATTATTGTATAATATTCTACATTCTATTTCTTTCTTAATGATGATGTTTTTATTTCTTTCTCTAAAATGCAACTATGGCAAATTATTTGTGACCGTATATTATTCTATATTCTCCGTCTTTCTAAATTATGATGTTTTAATTTCTCTCCCTAAATTGCAACTATGGCAAATTGTTTGTTACTGTCTATTATTCTACATTCTTCGTCTTTCTTAATGATGATGTTTTTATTTCTCTTCCTAAACAAATTATTTGTGATTGTCTATCATTCTACATTCTTTGTCTTTCTCAATGATGATGTTTTTGTTTCTCTCCCTAAACTACAACTATATGGCATATTATTTGTGACTGCATACTATTTTACCTTCTCTTTCTTTCTTAATTTCACTTCTTAAAATGCAACTCTATAGCAAATTATTTGTGATTACTTTTTAGACAAACACCTATTTATATTTTTTGGAGGAAACCCAATTCAAGTAAACAAAACAGATTTAGAGCCACTTTTGTTGATTCCATCACACAAGGCTTTGGTTTCATGGCTCCAACACTTAGTAACAGTGAAAGAAGCTTAAAACCCATTTCTATTTCATTTCTATTATATTATGTATATTAATATAAATATAAATACATAGTATACATATATAATAAATATCTATTATATAATACAAATTCCATTAATAAAATATACAAATTTGTAATATAATATAATATAAATATATATATTAATAATATATATTATATAATATTATATGTTATACATGATATTGTATAATTTATAATATAACATAATATAATGAACAATATTACTATAAATATATATAATATATAATACTTAATAAAATATATACAAATATAAATATATAATATAATATAAATATATTAATAATACGAATATAAATACATAATATACTATTAATATAAATATAAATATATAATTGAAAAAACAACCTCGAAAGTATTTTTTAACCCAATTAACATACGTCGTCTATTTTGATAAGATGTTTAGATCTAAGCCTTAGAAGGATTTTTTCTTCTCTAATTTTTTTAGATGGCTAAGATCTTGAAATTCACCAAATGAATGGTCTAGATTCGTTGTTGGAAGAGACTCATTTGAACCATATCTAAGGTTCAAATTGAACTTTCTTTTTTGGGGATTGATTATTGAGTTGAAGAGAGGGTGCGTGCAAAATTTTGGATCATACATATACTACAAACATAGTTTTCTAGAAGGGTGGTTGTTTTAAACTATGTTACAACCATTGCATTAGATCACATTGCCCATCATACTAATATTATGTATTATATTATACATATATTATCTAAAGAAAAAATTTATATAAGGTTGCAACCTTAAAATGTATAATTACATATATGCCTCAAAAATCTATCGGAAAAGGTTGTTTTAATGTTGAAAAACCTTGCAATTAAGCAATTCAACATTTAGATGTATGAATATGAAAGAAAAAAAGAATTTCGAGTCTCGAAAATTAGTGCATCTTGCAACACATTATCTAGACCGTCCATTTTCAAGATTTTCACATGTTTATAGATTTACTTGATTTTAGCTATTTTTTTAGTTTAAAACTTTATAATTAGATGTAAAAATAGATTTTTAGATAATTCTAATAATTTTTTACACCAAAATTACATGTTATGAAAAAATTTGGAGATGCACCTTAATTAGATCGTTTAAGGTTGCAATTTTATAGAAACCACACCCATTATCTAATGTTATATAATACAATATAATATAAAATAATATATTATTTATATAAAATATTATTGATATTTTAATAGTATATATTATTAGAATACAATTTATATATTAAATAATAATAAATATATATTTAATATATAAATAAAATATTATATAATATATAAATAAAATATTATATAATATATTATATTGTAAATAGTTAATAATGAATAGTGATCATCATGTTATACAAAAACATTTTAAAAGTTTTTGTAAAATTAAGTTCCGACCCCCTTCCCCGACTCTCCTCTTTAAAAAAAAAGAAAAAAAGGAGGAGGTTTGTTGAAAGGTAAGTTTATTTTCTCTTAGAAGTTCTGGCGATGTCAAAAGTGAAACTTCTAAAAAATAGGAAAGTTTTCTATATGAAAGAAATCTTTTAAGAAATCAAACACCCTGAGATTATTTACCTTGTGAAAATAGTTTTCTTTTTAGAGAAATTAGGAATATTTCAACTATATTTGGGGTACTTTGGATTTTTTTTATTTTTATTTTTTTTGAGGTCAATGGTTATTCTCATCAATGAATCATTGCCATTAGGGCACCTTTCCTTTGCATATATTTGTACATGGCCCCAGCAAAACCACCCATGGAAGTAAAAGGTCCAAACTTTCTTCTTATATACTATTTTACATTGTCTCTCTTTTTTAATGATGATGTTTTTGTTTCTCTCCCTAAACTGCAACTCTGTGGCAAATTATTGGGGATTACTTTTTGTACAAATCACCTGTTTATCCTGTTTGGAGGAAACCCCACTTCAAGGAAACAAAACAGATTTAGCCATCAAATCCATGAGCCACTTTTGCTGATTCCATCACACAAGGCTTTGGTTTCATGGCTCCCAACACTTGGGACTTAGGAACAGTGAAAAGAGCCTCAAACCCATTTCTATCTCATTCCAATGAAACCCCACCCAATTCTCCTTTTTATTAGTTAACATGGAACACCACCCAAAAGCAAAAAAAATGGTTGAGAGAGAGAGGGAGCAGTTTTGGAGAGAGAAACAAAGCACAAAAACCCTCATTACTTTCAACTTTCAAAGATCGAGGAAACATCCATGCAACCCAACAAAAGGATTACAATAGTAAATTACATAATTTAGGATAACCCAAATAAAATCTCTCTCAAATAGATCATTAAAAAAAAAGAGGAAAAGAAAAAAATAAAATGAATCTTGGGTAAGTAATTATGAGTGACAAGGACTTACAACAGTAAAGAAGTACTTGAACAACTATTCACATAACCATTCTAGCAATTTGCTCCTCCATCTCTCCCTAGCTTTTGGTCTTGGAACCAGCTTTTCACTGTAGATTTCTCTTCTCCTTTCTAGGTAGAATAAAGCGATAAATAAAGACCAGTTCTAAGGCTCCTTTAGAGAGACAGGAATGAGAGGTCATGACAGGAAGAAAATCAAATCCATCAAATGGAAAGGAACAATTATTAGAAACAATTCCCACAATGAAAAAATAATTGGGATAGTAGCAGGTATCAGTGATCAGGTTTAATTCAATCTCTTCCCATCTGAAAACTCATAATCATCACCATAATCGAGCAGCTTTCGCCTTTTAGAATTGGGAGAACTTGTGCTTAATTGAGCAGCTTCGATAACTCCTATGGGACTTGGAAGTAAGTTCGGAGAAATTGCAATCCTGGGTATCTTGCATTTATCAGTCTCTAGCTTCCTCATCAAATTGTAACAGGAGAGAACACAATCCTGATCGAAAAAAAACCAAGAAATAGGAAGTGATTACAGCTTCAATAAGAGAGAGCAATATGATTCTGGTTTCTTCACAAGAAAATGATGGGAAGAGGACTCACATGTTCAATAAATCCCATGGTGAACTCTGTCGATTCTTTCGTTAATTCTTGGCCGGAAGAAATAAGGATAGAGGCAGCAGCTATAGCTGATGGCCGATTATCCGAAAAATTCATAACTATAATCATAAATAACAAAAGGATTCAATTAGACTCAATATATACATCAGTCCTATAATTGCAAAAGTCCAATGTTAAGTCTTAACTGCAAGCATAGAGACAGAGAGAAAGGGGAGTTTCCTCTGTTCTTTTGAATGGTCTTTGTATTCTTCACATTCTGATGTGCTTAATGAGAGAGAGAGAAAGAGGGTGTTTCCTCTGTTCTTTTGATCAGTTTACTGTCTTTGTATTCTTCACTTTGTGTTGTGCTTAGTTTGAGAGAGAGAGAGAGAGAGAGATGCAAATCTGCTCTGCAGAGAGAGAGAGAGAGAGAGATGCAAATCTGCTCTGCAGAATGGTAGATCCTATGTTTAATTGATGATGTTTAACTGATTGGCTTAATGTGTGTGTGTGTGTGTGTGTGTGTGTGTGAGAGAGAGAGAGAGAGAGAGAGAGAGAGAGAGAGAGAGAGAGTCTTCGTTCGTTCGTTTGTTTAGTTAGTTTTAGGTTTAGTAAGTTACGTTACCTTCGTGTAGTGGTGGTATATAGTAGTAGGACGTAGTAGTA